ACACACACACACACAGCCCACAGACACACACAGACACACACAGCCCACAGACACACACACACACACAGCCCATAGACACACACACACACACACAGCCCACAGACACACACAGACACACACAGCCCACACACACACACACACACACACAGCCCACAGACACACACACACACACAGCCCATAGACACACACACACACACAGCCCATAGACACACACACACACAGCCCACAGACACACACACACACAGACATGGACACAGCCCACAGACAGACAGACACATCCACAGGCCACAGCTACAGCCACAGTCCACAGCCATGGCCATGACCCCAGACAAGTACCCAGACTCCCTCACGACTGAGCAAACAGCACACCTGTCACAAGCACCGCAGGAAGAAGACGTTCAGAGACATTGTACGTCATAGGAGTTGTCTATGTCACCTTAGGTACTAGGTACTGAGTACTGACTCTTCCCCTATGTCATCTAAGGTGCTACGCGCTGAGTACTTCATCTCATCTATGTTATCTAAGATACTAGGAACTGAGTACCTAACCTTCATCTGTGTCAGCTAAGGTGCTACACATTGAGTGCTTAGTCTTCAGCTATGTTGTTTAAGGTATTAAGCAAATGAGTACTGGATCTTCATCTAAGGTGTTAGACTGAGTACTCAGTCTTCATTCTGTATCACTGAAAGTAGTAAGCACACTGGGTTCTGAGTCTACGTGAGCTGAAGTACTAAGCCAACAGTACTGGGTCTTTACTCAACTAAGGTGCTAGGCCACGTGAGTACTTAGTCTTCACCTCTGTCATCCAAAGTAGGAAACACACTGAGTGCTCTGTGGCCCATGGGGTCCGGCCCCCCGTCTGCCCCCCTCCCCCCTCCTCACCTCCGCCCCTCCCACTTCAGGTCCAGGTGAAACTGGAACCTTCTCCCAGCTTCACGTCCACCCTTCTGGATGCAAAACAGGACTCCCACTGTGTGTGTGGGCACGGCCGCGTCACGCTGTCCTGGGCAGTGATCCCCAACAAGCTGGGTAAGTGAGGGGCCCCCCACCCCTACTGGGATCCTCGCGGGCAGAAACTCCCAGAGGCGGCCGGGCACCGGTGCTCCCGCCTGGAATCCCGGCTACGCAGGAGGCTGAGATCTGAGGATCGCGGTTCAAAGCCAGCCTGGGCAGGAAAGTCTGTGAGATTCTCATGACTACTGAACCAGCCAAAAACCCAAAGTGGCGCTGTGGTTCAAGGGGTAGAGCGCCAGCCTGGAGCTGCAGAGCTGAGGGACAGCACCCAGGCCCTGAGTTTGAGCCCTACGACCGACAAACACAAGCGAGATAATGGAGCGTTGGGCCTTCATGAGCGTTGAGCAGGAAGGGCGATGCTGTTCAGCATGACTGATTATTTTCTAGGAACCATGAATATCACCGTGAGCGCAGAAACAGTGGAGTCCCCCCAGCCCTGTGACAACGAGGTGGCCATAGTCCCCGAGCAGGGCAGCAAGGACACCGTCATCAGATCCCTGCTGGTGGAGGTGAGTGAGGCCCCCAGGATGTGGGTCCCATGGAAGCCGGGCGCCGTAGCTCGCGCCTGTAGTACCTGCCATTCGGGAGGCTGAGATTTGAGGGTCCTAAGTGGAAGCCAGCCCAGGCGGGAAAGTCCACGAGACTCTCCTCTCCAATGAGCCAGCAAAAAGCTGGAAGTGGCACTGTGGCTCAAGTGGTAGAGCGCCAGCCTTGAGCAAAAAAAAAGAGCTCAGGGACACAGCGCCCAGGCCCTGAGTTCAAGCCCCAGAACTGGCAAAAAATAAAAAACTGTATCTAGTCCAAACTTTGTTGTAAGAACAGTTGGAAAAATATATGGGCCATAATAATATACACATACAGATGATCTAATAATAATAACAATAATAATAATAATGGATGAGCTGGCCTCTTATCCTAGCTACTCAGGAGGCTGAAAGCTGAGGATCACGATTCAAAGCCAGCCAGGGCAGGAAAGTCCATGAGCCTCTGCTCTCCACTGAACCAGCAAAAAGCTGGAAGTGGTGCTGTGGCTCAAGTGGTAGAGCACCAGCCTTGAACAAACAACTCAGGGACAGCGCCCAGGCCCTGAGCTCAAGCTCTAGGACTGCAACACACACACGAACAACAATAATATAATTCCTTCCCTTCTCTTCTCTACCTGGAGATCTGAGATCCTCTTATCAGCACACAGACTTCCAGGGTCTCCTCTGGTTTGGGGGGTGTTTTCATTTTTGCCAGTGCTGGGGCTTGAACTCAGGGCCTGGGCGCTGTCCCTGAGCTTCTTTGGCTCAGGGCTGGCACTCTACCACTTGAGCCACAGCCACTTCCGGCTTTTTCTGTGTCTGTGGTACTGAGGACTCGAACCCAGGGCTTCATGCATGCTAGGCGAACGCTCTACCACTGAGCCACCTGCCCAGCCCATCATTCTCACCTCTGACTCTTTCTTCCTCCTCCCCTATCTAGCCCGAAGGACTGGAGAGAGAA